CGGCGTGGATGCCCACACAGAAGCTCAGTTCGTCGATGCCCTGTCGTCATACAGTGGAAGGGGCCTGCAGGTGGTGAATGCCAGGCTGGACAAAATGGACATGCCAAGCTTCTTCATCGAGATGAGTGACATGCTAAAGCACTGAAGCTTTCTGAAACTAGCTGAAACCCGAGATGGCCGCAAAAGGATGCGAAGGCATCCTCCTGCGACCCTTCCTGCGCCCACAATGCCGCAGTGCTAAGGCCTTTCCATGGCTCAGCTTCCCCGCTGTACAGGAGGAGGGGGACTTTGTTTTGGCCATCTGCGGATGTACAGAAGGCGCCTCATGAGATCGCCGTGAGGAGTGATCCTGAAACCAAAAGGCATCTCTCCGGTGATTCACGTGGCTCTTGAAGCTGGAATTGCTGCCCTGAACTCTGAGCCCTGCAAACTCACCATCCAGAACACGCCCTGAGCGAATTGCAGCAACGAATGCAAAACTGTGGACACAGGCACTCGGGAAGCTTCATCTTTCGCTTCGGCTGGCGGGGAGTGGGGAGTGCTGTCGCGCACTTAGCCGCAGAATCCATGGTTTAGGTTCAGGCTTTTGGGTTACTTGTTTGTTCAGGCTGATGGAATCAAGGAAAGGTGTTCAGGAGCCAGGTTCTGGCAATGCCTCACGTTCCACGGCCAAAGCTTGCAGATCCAAATTCGATCTCTCGATGCGGAAGCCTACGAAAACTGAAGCCTGGAAGCACAGGAAGCGAAGCACTCAACCTCGGACTCCACGATCGGAAAGCTTTCGCTTTCGCAACCAACTTTGCTTTCCGAGCCAAGTGTCGCCACGGTAGGCAGCAGCCAGTGAGTCCTCGGGAGCCTTTTAGAGCCCATAAGCCCGAAGCAGTGCACCCAGGATGTCCATCCCAGCGGAGAGAAGGTCCCGAGCTTGGCTATGATGGTGGAAGCTCATGCGAGACAGCTCGTGCCAGGGTTCTCTTGTGGACGGGCACAGCTAGCTTTCATACTTAGCAGAATGCCTTGGTGCAACTATCGTATATCGTTGTGGAAAGCGGACAGCAGCACTTTTCTCTCCAGACCTTCGAGCGATTGAAAGCAGATCAGGCTGGCTGTGCTCATGAACGAAGCGCTTCACTAGCACCACCAAGATCATCATTGTCATCATCATCGTCAGCAGCGTCATCAGCATCGTCATCAGCATCATGATCACCATCACCATCACCATCAGCAGATCATCATCATCATCATCATCATCATTACTGCCATCACCATCACCATCATCATCATTACCCTCGTCATATCGTCATCGCGATATCGGTTGGAGTTTCAAAAACCGCATCTGTATACATGCGAATGCAGCATGAGGTTCATCCGAACCTGCTCGCCAAGTACCTGCAGGTGCAGCGCAAGTTGATGCCTTGCCAAGATCGCCACCAACTAGGAAGATAAATATATTTATACATATGCAGAGGCGTGTAAGTATGAGCGATACTTATCGATATGCATATAGACATAAGCGTAGGTACAGTTATAGATAGAGAGGCAAACAGAAATCAATACATGTATATATATATATATATTTATACATCTATCTGTCTGTCTAACTATCTATGTATCGATCTATATATATATATATATATATACATATGTGTGTGTATATGTATGTATGCATGTATGTTCCTGCGTGTGTGTGTGTGTGTGCGCATATATATATATGTATACACATAGATCTGTATGTGTGTGTATATATATACATATCTACATATATATATATATATATGTATACATGTATACGTATGCATATATGAGTATATATATATATATACATACATACACGTATATATATATATACATATATATATATATATATATACATATAAAGGAATAGACAGAGGTGTGTATACACACACATATATATATATATATATATATATATGTGTAGCACGCACACTTGTTTGTGCGAAGTGACAACTTATTATCTCACCTAAACACCGAATCGGTCAGGGGATTGACTCACCGATTCAATTCGATCGATTGCATACTCCGTGGCCATTTTGGCGAAAGCTGTTACAGCCTGAGCGAAATTTTGTTTCAGTCCCCTCGGATCACTCCTCGGTCATAGCCGCTCTTGGCGGCCAGTACTTCGAGTTCTATTACGACCGCCGCTGGCGGCCAGTACTTCGAGCACTACGGCTTCTCTGTCGGTTGTCGACAGTTTGAAGGAATCGCTCGAGGAATTTAGCCGCGAGCAAGTTCTCGAAGACTTCCAGATCGAGAAACCCGAGGATGTGACTTGGGGAGCTTGGAACAAGCGACAATCCCGACAAATTCGAAAGGCCATCGATCAGATTTCCCAATGTCGGACTGCGAACGACATTGTCAACCTGGCGGCGACCTTGTTGAAGCCGCCCAATCTCGAGGCCTTTCTGTACCTGCACATTACCAATCGCGACGACTCCGCGAAGCCGCTGACGGTACCGTTCGAGATCGTCGAGGCTTCCCTACACCCCGATTCCGATCATGTACCCCTTCCAGCGGACACCGATGCTGCTTTTCTTGTACACGAGACCGATCTGCATAATCAGCATTTGGCAGACATTTTTCGTGATGATTTCGGCATGGAACTTCATAATCCCGAACCCGCTGCATCTACAGCTCGAAGACGAAACTTCGAAGGGCGCCTGAAGCCCACTAACTCGACCTCCATCGATTTGGATTAGCAACTTCGTAGCCATGGCACAATCTCGCTCTGATTCTTGGTTCGACTTTCTCTGCGAGGGATCGACTGCGAATATCACTGCACCGGTGCCGAGTACCATGCTACACGAGTTCCCGGAAAAGGTTCGCGACGAAGCCCGAGTCCCTGTCTCCGATATACGACGACAAATCTGCCCCCGAATCCTCGAAACTAAGAACTGCAACATGCACAACTGTGCGCACCTTCACCCCGATTTCCTCAACAAAGTCTGGGTGGTGCCTAATCTAATTTGCCACAAATGGTTCCAGGGATGCTGCGAGTACCACGATCGCTGTTGGAACCAACACGGTCACACCTTCGATGCAGCTATGCGCCGAGCCTTCGTACTGCGGCAATTACGCCGAGACGAATCTCCATTTCACTACTCATCACGAGGTGCATTCATCGAGCAGGTGACCCGAGAACAGGCGCGCGAGTGGATCATGGACACGATGGCCACTTTCCGCCACACCGAGATGCGCAAATTCAACTTCGGCACCAACTTCTCCAAGTACTATGACTTCGAAGCATGCGACAAGTCGGATGCCGCGGCCAGACTCCGACAGGAAATCGCCGAAGGCAACCACCGTGGACGCTCTCCTCGACGAGCCCCCCCTGGGCCCTTGGACGGCTCTTCCTTTGGGTGTTTTGTTTCTGCTAGGCAGGACCCCAGGGGCGGCACTAAGGGCTGTGGTATCCGGTTGGGCTCCGCTACCACGCCCGACGAGCACCTGTCCTAGCCACCCATCGGTCGGTCCAAGGGGCGATAGTGCCGGCACTCTCGCTCTCTCTCTTCTTTGTGTCTGTCCGCCTTCTTCCTCTTCTTCTTTTGCCCTTTGTCTCCGCTCTGCCCCTCCGTCGGTTCTCTCTCTGTTTCTCTGCCGTTCTTTCCCCCTTCTTTTTAATTTTTTCTCTGTCCTTTCTCTTCCCCGCTGTTCGCCTCTTCCCTTTTCTGCCTGGCCGGCTCGTCTCTCTCTCTCTCTTTTTTTTTTTTTCTTCTTGTGCTCTCTTCTCTTATTCGACTTCCGTCGGCTTCTGTCCTCGAGCTTTGCTTTGCAGTTAGTGTACTTACAGAAGCCTCAGAGCCGATGCTACCCTCAGTGGTGCACAGATTCTGGTGGCACCCAGGAGGGCTCTCAGTCTCACCTACCGCCATTCAATCCTTGCTATGCATCAGTCCGCGACCACAGATATTGTGGACCTTTGATATGGACTCAGTTGCCTCATTGGCGGAAACAGTACCTGGTCTCACAGTTCGCAACGCTGGCCTTCTTTTGGATTGCGACATAGCTTCGGTTCTAGTCTCCGCAGGATTGCATCTTTGTCTTTTGAAGACTGGATCGCGGCTCTAGCCATATATCAAGAAGGCGGCCTGTTTCTAGATCTGGATTACATCTGGCTAGGGAATCCATTGCCGCTTGTGGACGGCTTGGCCTTTGGAACTGAGCCAATTGAGCTCTTGCCACCTCAGCGATTACCCAGGCGGAGATTCACCATCTTAGGGCGAACAGTGCGCCTCAATGTGGGCCTACTGGCGGGGCCAAGAGGCTCAGACTGCTTTGCCAACTGGGCCTTGACGCTTCACCGTTATTGGAACAAAAAATTACAACAATGGGTAGCCGGCCGCAACAGTATTGCCAGGGACAGAAACCATTCTTTGTGGCTGAGCAACACGGAATTCCTGCACGACTACATTGAGCAGCATGCTCTTCAGCCTTGTCTCCTGCCAGTACACAAGGTGTCACCATGGCCCTTGTGGATGACGAACTTCCTCGCGCCAGGTGACACATCTTTTGGATACCAACTGCCAGATCTCGCGCGACCCTCTCCAGGGTGTTTATCAAAGACTTAGCTGCCCACCTTTACAAGGCAGCACGGAGCAAAGTCAAGTCAACATTGCACCTTTGGGGCCCGCTTACCACGCTTCTCCTAGTTGGTGCTCAGTGGCCCCTTCACCACCAGCTGGCCTGCAACACTGCAGCTTTTTCGGTGTGGATCATTCTTAGCGGGGCTTTGGAGTTTCAAGTGCCCGGACGGGCACACAAAGCTTTTGGAGCAGGAAGCGTCATTGTTTCAGATCTTTTGGTCAGAGGAGGCAGTGTCTCCAGGCTCACAACCAATACACAGGTGCTGTGGGGCACTGTACCACGGTACATGCTACAGCGGGCACCTACCCGGGAGCAAATCCTCAGAGCACGTAGCCTGAAGCAGAAGATACTGAGTATTCGGAAGAGCGGCCGTAGGTCGCGTGGGCAGCAAGCGGATATTAGAGCGCGGACCTTGCCTGGTTGCGCTAACTGCACTATGGCTGAGCTGTTGGATCAAGCTTAACTTCCGGAACAGGCATTGTGAGTTTCACTCAGATCTGTGCCCCCCCTTGCCTAGGGGCCGCTTCAGACTCAAAACCATAGCGTTGTGGCTCCCAAGTGTGCTTCTGGCTTTCAGGGTTTTCGGAGTGTTGGGTGGGTTTGCCTTGGTTTCTTGTTTTTGTTTGGGCTCCTTGGGCCTTCCGTTTCTGCTCGTTCTTGGTCCTAGGCTCCCTGGTCCTTTTTTGCGTTAGTTTCCTAGGTTTAGGCTGCCTTAAGCAGGCCCTGCGACCGGTGCGTCGCTCTCTGATGGGGCTGGTACGTGTGTGTGTGTGTGTGTGTTTTTTTTTCTTTCTTTCATCTCTTTCTTCTTTCTCTCTGCCAAGGTTCCCTCGTGTCCGGGTGTGTTTTTCTTGCGTTTTCTCGGTCTGGTCTGTCTCGTGGTCCCCTGTCGCTGCCGTCGTGCTTCGTTCTGCTCTGCCTCGCGTCGTTCGTGCGTCTCGCGCTGCTGCGGCTTGCTCGCGTTACCTGCGTACTCAGGTCTCTTTCGGCGGGGGGTTGGACGCGTGTGCCAATGGCCACGCCTTCCCCCCGCTGTAGTTGCGCGCTCGTGGCCCGCGTCGCCGCGTACTTGCCCCGCGTACTCAGGTCTGCAGCGGGGGGTTGGACGCGTGTGCCTGCGGCCACGCCTTCCTCCCGCTGTCGTCGCGTGTTCGTCGTTTCGCTTCGCGCCGCTCGTCCTGCTTCCTTATAGGTCTTTGCCAGCGGGGGGTTGGATGCTTGGGCCACGCCCTCCCCCCGCTGTCGTCGCGCCGTACTCAGGTCTGCAGCGGGGGGTTGGACGCGTGCGCCTGTGGCCACGCCTTCCTCGTGGCACGCTTCGGCAGCGCGGCTCTAGCCAGGGCTACGCAGGAGCTGGTCAGGACCCTGGGGTGGTCGGTCTCGGGTCTTCCCGGTCGGAGCCTGGTGTGCCCGGTTACTACTCGCGTACAGCCCATCCGGACTCCCAGCCACGACGCCGTCACACACAACGCGCCTCCTCCCGTTCCAAAACACCCTTACGAGAGCTCGCACAGGTCAACGCCGAGCCGTGCATCATCGTGAGGACCGACCCCCAGTATCAAGCCGCCGTCGAGGACAGACTCCCACCGTTCCGGGCACCACCCGAACTGGCAGAGGTCGCGGACGAGGACGCGGCCATGGCACCACTGTTGATCTGCACAGCGGTTTTCAGCGAGGGTGCGACTGATCCAATGGCACGTTGGGTGTCAAGAGAAAGCCAGAAGATGTCTTGGACCCACTCAGGGTAGAAATGCAGATAGCATAACTTCCATCCAGAAGGTCCAGGTCTGGAGGACGACATCTTGGACAACCACCGGGATCTTTCATGTGCAGTGAGGGGCCCCAGACATGAAGGGGTTGGAAGAGCTTGGGTCGCAGAAGAAGCAGGCAGTGCGTATCTTGTGGCGGAAGAGCAAGCCACTGCCGTAGGGTCCAAAGATGCGCGGGTTGCCCATTGATATGCACCACACATTGTACCTGGCCTTCGCAAGGACCGAGAAGCTTGCCCTCCCACAGTCCTCCAACTCTCCGAAACCGCCATATCTGGATTCGAATCTCTTGCTCCACCAAACATTGGACTTCAGAACCCCGAAATACACACCGACTCCACGGTCCAGGGCACAAAAGGGCCTGAAGCACATCTGGCGGTGCCTGGACGTCATGTGTTTTCGGGCTGCCCCGCAAGAATCCTGAGGGGTCCGTCCAAGTATGCACCAGCTCATGCGACCACGGCCGAGAAGGATGGTCAAAGAGTTTTTGCCACTCCTGCGCAGCAGCCTTACGCATTTCCGCAGGGGTCTTGGGGCGGCGAGTACCACTGGCGGTGGTGATTTGTTGCGGAGTGTAGGCTTGGCGCTTGTATACTGGTGTACGCCAACAGCGAGCCCAGCGTCTGAGATCACCTGAGCGTAGCAAGTGGACCCTCCTTTCATGTCCTTCACGGACCTTGTGTGCAGCGGTTTTGGCTCTCAGTGTTTGGGCTTCCTGTATCCAAGCTTCTACTAGGAGAATGCGGTCTGCGGTCTCCGTGGCAGAAGGTGCCCAGTGCAAGTTCCTTGCAATCGCATCAACCACCGGTTGACACATGTCGGGGGGGCGTAGCTGAGGAGCACCAGGCGCGGACAAACAGGCTAACCAACGATCGAGTTGAGTATGAAAACCATCCCAGTCCCATGGGTCCCGTTGTATCGTAACTTGTCCTCGCTTATCCAGGAAATGCAGGCCTTGACGCCACTTGACATCAGCGCGGTTCAATATGGAGTTGGCGGTCTCCAGGTCATGAGTTTCTGAATCGATCAGGATGTGCTTGAGAGAGCGAAGCAGAGCCAAACATGTGTCCCAGGCATTTTGGGCCCTGCCCAGCTTGCGGTCCATGCTGGGTTGGTTCGTCGTCGGCAAAGTTTGATGCAGGATTGCCATGATGGAGTCATGTGCTTGGTGAACGCGAGAGCACAACACCTCTCGCAGACTAAGAGGTGGCGTCTGCCCGTGTACCATTCCGATTTCTGACAAAGTTGCATGCGAAGTGCTGAGATACGCTGCAGCTTGCATAAGTAGGGGACGATGTGTCTCCATCTGGGCCTCTACTTGTGCCTTGAGTGCCTGCAGGTTATGGCCATGAGCCATATCAGCCAGTTTTCGCCACCGGGGTTGTTCACGATCTGATGAGGCTGCTGGGACAGTGGGAATGTCAATGCCCAAGTCGATGAGAACCGGATGGTGATCCACTCTCTTGTGCCAATTCCAGAGCAGTGCCGAGTTGAGAACAGGTGTATGGAATCCGATTGCAGGGAGGATCCAAATGGAGTCCAGGCGGCTAGCGCTGCCTGTGGGGGAGACATGAGTAAAACCGGGAAGTGTGGGATGTGAGTCTCGCCAGGTATAAATGAGACCCATTTCGCGGCATTGTACGGCTAAGCACTCGTCTCGAATTTGCCATTGACCCTGCCACTTATCTAGAGCCCCGTCGGTAAAGGAGTTCAAATCGCCTAAAACCACCAGAGTCCAGTCTTTTGCTTGAGCCATGGCCACTTGCTGTTGCAGAAAGGTGACGCGATCGGTTTCGTGCTGGACGGCCCTGAGGTTCTGAGTGAATCCTGGTAGACATGCGCCTGTCGGGCCGTAGACCGCGACTACCCGGAGCACAGCTCCGTTATGCAGACGGATGGAGCCGCCCAGCGCTCGACCATGTGGTCCGGGTGTGACCTCTGTCCAATCAGCGGCTACCTCGCGCTTGATGGCCAGTGCTACTCCGGAGCCAAGCGGATTGTCTGTACGTCTGTCGGCATTGGAGACATTATGGGAAATGCAGAGATAACCGGCATCCCACATGCCGTTGATTGCAGCGTTGTGTGCGGAGGCTCCATCGATACGGGTTTCTGTCAAAGCAGCTATGTCTGCTCCAAGATCCGACATGGCCTCCGCCCACCACGCACCCCAGGCATACCTGTCCCTCCCAATGCCTCCAGTTTGCAAAGCTGCCAGGCGAGAGACCTGACTGCCCTTCCACGAGCAGTCGTGACCAAGTGGGATACCAGTGAGCCGTGGGAGGACTGTGATGCTACCCACCGCTGCCTCCAGTCTATCCGGAAGCGGCTCATCATTGTCAGCATCGGCCGGCTCCATCATGACCAAGGCCGGGGGGAAACTAGCTAAGTCTCCGGCAGGCGAAAAGAGGAGACGGCGGCGAAGCAAAGCGGCAGCAGCAAGAGGGTGCAGACAAGGGCAGCAGAACAAAGGACGCAAAATAGGCCAAACGAACGCTTTAAGACAGCGGATGATGAGCGAGCAGTCGCTGCGGCCAGCGGCCATGGGCCCAACCAGGCCGCGGAACATCGCAGGGCGATCAAGGATGAAGGCAACCAAAAATCAGGAACTGTACACCCGACAGGAGACCAGCACAACGCTAGACTGAAGGGAAATTAAGCGAAAGGATATTGGCATTGCACTCCGGGCATCGGCACTCCGCATCATTTGCCGAGTAAATTGAGTCCATCTGTTCTACGCGTGCAAGCCAACGCTCAAGACAGGCAGCATGTACAGCATGTAGGCACAGCGTGATGGCCACCTCCTCCCCATGTCCAAAAGGTGACCTGCGCACTGCACATTCACCATTGCGTGGCACTTCAGGAACATGTGCGAGGGCAACTCCGCGTGATTGACCCCGCAGGACCACTGAGATCTGACGGTCCCTGATGGTCTGTGCGCCTTCAGCAATGTCAACTGAACGATGCGTGTCTGTTGCTCGTTCAGCAGTATCAGCAAGATGACCAGCAGGAGGTGGAGTTGGTCCTGGAGTGGCACCTGTTGCTGGCTCGGCTGCACCAATGCTCCGGGTGGGAAGATGTTTCCATATGCTCTGGCCGGGCTGGGAGAGGATTGCTGATGTTCCGCACCGCTCGGGGCACTTCCGGGAGGGCTCGCTGGGCCAAGCTCAACCTGACCGTACCATGTGGGGTTTGTAGCGATAAGGAGCGGGAACTGCCCGACCATGGCACACCAGAGTGCTGGGCAAGCTCCTGCATCACCATCCTCACGGTCGGGACCTCCGCAAATTGTGGATGCGCCAGCATTGTAGTGATCCCATGTTGCGCTGCACCCGGTGGGATCTGAACGATGTCGGCTGCCAGGTTGGCAAGGGTGATGGACGCTTGAAAGACGGCATTGAGGGCAAGAGCCGATTCTTCCAGTCGGATACCTCGAACAAGAAACCCTACGGGTGGTGCGGAGTTGGAAGGGCTTGGTGCCGGCGTCAGAGTCGGGGGGGGCGGGTTGGGGGCCCAAACCTAAGGGCGGCTGGCGGCCTCTGACGATGCTGGAGGAGGCTTTCAAGGCCATAGAAGGTCCGGTCACTCATCGCTTGGTTTCGGCTCGTGCGTCCCTCCCAGCTGGCTCCGTCTTCAGTGCCTGGAACCGTGCGTATGAACCCGGCCAGTCTGCGGCCTCAGATGTCCTATACCTGGATGTCCAGGTGTGTGAAGATTCCCTGGCTCATCATCTCCCTCTGGCAAGGGTTCCCGCAGACTTTGAAAAATTTTTCAATAGGTCAATTTGCACCAAGTCACGCTGTGCAGCAAGCGCGTGGGCTACCGGACCGCATCCACCAGCTATATCAGGCAGCCTTCCAGGGACTCACCATTCAGGTGGACACCAAATGGGGCCTGTCTGACCCGGTACACTGCCATCGCGGTATTCCCCAGGGAGCAGCCTCATCCCCGCAACTGTCCAAGATCCGCTGTTGCGCTTGCGCGAGAATAGCACGGCCTGCTACGTCTCGTCAGCGGGTCGGCGGGTGCCTATGGCCGGTTATGTGGATGATGCCGAGCATTATGCTTCTGGGGCCCATCAGCTGCCGCAGTTGCTGCGGGATCTTTCTCAAGGAAGCCTGTTGACGGGCATTGGGTTTGCATGGGACAAATTCCATGCCTTTGCCACGGATTGGGACATCGTGGCGGCATCACCTCAGGGGCAAGCGGCCGGATTCACTCCAGAAGGCATACCAGTCTCAGGCTACGACATTTGGGCAGGAGCGGAACTCGTCACCACTCTGCCCAGAGCCAGAGACACAGATGAAGAGCTCCTTTTGGGAAAAAGGGGCACTTTTCTGGATCGTCACTCGGCAGCGGCGGAAGACATCCTGCTTAAATTGGACAAGCTCCTACAAGGATTCTCAGCGCGGCGTTTCAGTTCGGATGAGCTAATATTGGGGGCCCAATTATATGCAGCAGGGTACCTCAACTACGCTCCTTTGGTGGGGATACCCCATCCGCAAGCTCTACACAGACACGATTCTGCGGTTCAACAACATCTCCTTCGTGCGCTACATGTACGTTCATCGGCGGAGCGTGTGGGGCTCTTGGCAGCGCGGTCCGTTGGCGGTCTGCAGTCGTTCTCGGCGGTGGAGGGATCATTGGCATCGGTGGCGGCAGAAGTTATGCGATTGCTGTCCTCTCTGTCCCCAGCTGGACAATTAGCTAGGGACGCTTTAAAAGAGGCGATGTCCATGGCGCCGGAGGCGGCAGAGCAATGCGACTACATGATTGTGCGTGCACTGCGACATCTAGCTGGCTACGGTATCTTTGTCAACGCGAGTATGGATCGCACTGTTTGCAGAATTCTTGACCATCTAGCAGATTTGCAGGGGCACCGACCTCCTGGCCTCATCGGACCTTTCGAACAACGCAAGCATACCAACATGTTGACCTACTGCAGAGTGGGTCGTCTTGCTAACGCTGTCCGCTCCTGTCTGCTTCATTTCCGCAACAACGGGGTTGCGGACACTGAATGGGGAGACCCTGCACATTGGCTTCACCTGCCGGCGAACTGTCCGGCCTCACCGCAGCAATGCGCTGCTGCTGCTACTGCGAGCCTGGCACGTTCCTGTGCCGACTGGGCCCTTGAGTGTGAGCTCTTCGGGGTGCATCACTTGCCGATTGCTGAAGACTGGTCTGCGGCAGCCTGGGAGCATCCACAAGACCCCAGCAATGACCTGCGAAGCCAACACCTGGATAGCAAACAGCAGTTTCTACCCAATGTCGATATTGGCCTTTTTGCGGACGGCGGGGCCAACGGAGAAGCCACCGTGGCTGCATGCCAGGCGAGAGCCTTCGCGGGTCCTCATTACTGGAACACGGCATCGGCAGCAGGCTCACAACTGGCAGTGCGACTCCCTGCTAGGTACGGTTGGGAGCACACCACGGTCCACACTGCTGAGCTATTGGCCATGCTTGCTGCTCTCCGTTGGCGTCGTCCTGGTGCCTCCTAGTACTGGATCGAGCCTCACTGTTCCCCTTATTGCAGCAAGATGCCCACAAACAGAACAGAATCCTTTCCTCCCCATGCCTTCATTTGGTATCCCGGGTACACACGGTCACCGGGGAACTTTCAAGTGCCTGGCGGGATCATGCCCCTACGCCGCTCTGGAGAGCGCATCAGCTCACTGCTCCCGAGACCTGGCACGTTCAGGGCAATGTACAAGGCCGTTCGGCGTCGCTTTGCTGTATCCCTTTTCTCGATTTTGGCCTCGTTGGTGTTCATGTTCGCAGTCATCAAGCCAATACCACTGCCCCGGCGCCCGTCATCGTGGAGGGCAATGAGAGACAAGACGAAGGTTGTCGCCACGCCTACCGTCTGCCGCAGCCGCCGGATGTCTGGTGGCCCTCCAGTGGCTTAGCATTCCAACTCTCATACAAGGGGCGAGCGGTCACGGACTCTTGCCGCAACTTCACTCGCAAGCTCCTCTGCCAAGAGTCAAAGGACAAATGGAAACTTCGACCAGTACAGGGTAAGATTGCTTCAGTTTCCGGTGCCTTTCTGCCAGGACTGGACTTGCGGTTGCATGTTTCCTTTACATTGGGCACTGGGCACGTTGGCTCCTTCATAGCGATCGCCGCGCTGTGGATCTTTCTGCTTTCGCCTACAGGTGCTTGCGCGCCATTGGCGGTGGCTGGACAGAAAGAATGCACTCAGATACGAGGTTGCAGAAGCTAGCTCTTCGCTGGGCCGACCTTGCCAACACCTCTGCCAGAACGTGCCCGCTATGCCTACAGCTCGCTGGAACACCTCGCCACGTGGTTATGTCATGCCCTGCCATGCGCCCTATGGTCCACCCCTTCCTGGACGATGTCGAAGCTGAGCTCGCTCGCTTCGGTAATGCTGCGCAGCACTCCCTTGAAGCCGCTAGACGCCTGCCTGCCTCCCCCAAGTCCCCCACCCCGGAAGACGCCACGCGCTGGCCCATCCTCACTGTTTGGAGGTGGCTAGTGCCCATGCGCACCGAAATCGCGGATTTTGCCGCGGATGCAGCCAGGAGTAGTGCGGTACCCACTCGGATGGAATCTGGTACTGATCTGGCCTATCGCGGAGTACTTCCAGCTGCATTGGGACGCTTCATCACACGTACAGCCAATGCAGCTTCCAATGACGTGCCTGACGATCCGGACCCCCTGGCCGATGAATCCTTTAGTTCCTCCCGAGACATGCATGGCGCTTCGGAGGAGGTGGTGCACAGCCTCAGTATGCTTACATCCGTCGCTGGGGCGGGGGTTAGCGTCCTTCGCTTGCTATTTCTCGGTCTTCGTAGCATACGTGCTGAATACCTCAAGCGCATCGCTGCCTGGGCAGGCGACGCTGGATGCCAATATCGAGCCTGCTCCTCCTCTCCCCCTTCCTGCGGCCCCGCCCCCTAATGCATTCCTGGACTGGTTTGCCTCATCCTCCAGTGGAAGTCGCCCTTGCTAGACTTCGTGGAGCCTGTCGTATACCAGGGTATCGGCCTCCTGATGCCCGGCTTCGCAACATGTTGCTTGCTGCTGGTGTACCCTCCACTCAGCGGGACAAGCTTTCGGCGCGGGTGCAGCTTTCACAGGTTTGTCAATGCCCGCGCTTACTTCCTGCCCCTCTCATCTCGTGCTGCATCACCTGTCGTGGAGCCCAGATGCAACCTGCAGTTGCAGCTCGAATGTGCCCGTGCTGTCGCCAGGACTCGGCGGTACATTGCCAAGCGTGTGGCTGTGCATTACATTTCCGTGGGGCATGTGCTTGGAACAAGGGAGCCAACCGGCTTTTTCTCCCCACAGCGGAGGCCCCGGTGATATTGTGTCCAGACTGTCACTGGGCCTGGATGCGGGCGCAGGCGGCACTTCGTTGGCGACAAGCGGGGCCAGAGACACCCTCTGCCTTAACCGCATTGGTGGATGACCTCCGCGGTCGCTGCTCCCCAGGAGCTGGTTTGCACAGCAGCAAGGTGGCATCCACTTTTCGGCAACGCCTCCGGCGTCACCTTCGCAGGTGGCTCTCGCCAGAATGGAAAT